GAGAATTCCCATCTGTCTCCGAGCAGGAGTGAGTGAGGTGGCCCAGGTCAGACACAACGATGGACCAGCCACACACACACACACACACACACACACACACACACACACACACACACACACACACACACACTGATGGAGCAAACACACACAAACACATGAATATACAACTCACACACACTGATGGAGCTAACACACACAAACACACTCTGACGGGCCGAGCCGAGCAGAACCGCGACAGCCCAGTAGATTTATGCTTGCAAAGCTGCATTGGCTAGATGAATAAATGGCTGGCTGTATGGGAAACACAAAGCTACGCTAAACAAAAGTCTGATAAATCTGATTCTATGTGAGAGAAATCACTTTCCATTCATCCCTGTCACCATAACCGTTATGCAGGCATACTTTAGGAACAGTTCTTAGTAATTTATTTTGGTTCGCATCAATAACTTATTTGTAAGGAACACTTTTAAAATTGACGGGAGGTATTTGTCCTTGAATAAACACCGTAGGGAAACATTGTGAAAATGGTGGAATTGAATTGGAATCCTGGGTAAAATGTGTCTACGTGCAGTACTACGGTGTACTGAACATTTTGTTAATACAATAAAACATTTTTTTTACGACTAATCATATTCTAGATTTTCATCTACTTTTTAAAAAGTTCCAGAAACCTAGCAAGTACCTATCTTGATTAAAACAATTATTCTACACTCAAGACTTCCTTGTAAAATAATGTTTTAATAAAATAACAAATTAACGCTGAAATAGATCACTAAAATGTAATCTATTTATGCAAATCGAAAAGTATTAGCGAAAGCGGGGGCATGTATGTTTTTACAGATCTATTAGTATTTGAAAACATTTATTCATTTTTATCTAAAAGACAATAATACTAATATGAATCATAATAATTATTAATCATAACAATATAGAATTTTGTACTACAAATGTGAATGATAATAATTGTTTATTTTCTTACATTTCTTATTTTTGTCCAGTTCTGATGCCATATTCCTTGATCCAGAAACATACAATTGAACCATAAACATGCAATCCAATATTATTAAAGATTCTGGAAGAGGTTCTGTGTAACAGATGAAGTTGGGTATGTCCTGACTGGTGTGTGCTGATGACTTGGCAGGGCGTCATGTGAGCATGTTGTGTTTATCCAAACAGAGTGTTTCTCAGAGTGTTTCCATGCCAAGCCCTCTCCTCCTATTCCCTGCTTCTCCCGGCTTTCCCCTGCTTTTCCGGGCACAATAACTGGAAAGTTATTTTGCAGTAAACTATCCCGTCCGGTGGAGGGAAACTCGATAATTAGGCACGTTGTGGATGAAAGAGAGAGAGAGCCGTCTGTGTGAGCGTTACAGTGGAGTTGGCAGCACTGTGTGAAGCTGGGCCAAGCCAGGATGAGTCGAGCTGAGCTGAGCTTGGCCAAGGGGAGAGGAGAGGGGCGGTGGGGGTTCTAGAGAGAATGAAGTTCCTACAGCTGGACGGACAGAGCTAAATGCTGCCAACACAGATCAAATTAGAATACATACTTTAGAACTGTCAACATTGACTATTCAATCATGTTGGATTTCTATCAGCAACATTCTGAATCTTCCCGCATAATGAATACGCCCAATGATTCAATGATGACACTGTCCACTGGCAGCAATCAATATATCGCTAGCTTCTCTAGCTTCATGGAGGAAAGAAGGCTTATACTGTGCAGAAGAATGATAATCCTTTATGGAAAATGAAAAACTGTCTGCATCCTCCCATAGTTCTGTCTCTATGGTCACTGAGGTTGGGGCTGTTTTCCCATGGAAAGAACTTGCTGTCTGTCTGTCTGTCTGTCTAGTCATCTATTACTCAGGCTAGTTGTCTGTCTACCAGGTCTGTCTACCAGGTCTGTCTACCAGCTGGTAGAATGTGACGAGCATTGTTTTCTCATGGAATGTCTTAGAATACGTGTACGATCTACAAACCTATTCTGCTACAGTGGATATAGAGATGTGGTGAGGCCACAATTTTCTCTCAAGCCACAATTTTCTCCTAACAGCAATATTGTCATAAGAGTCCACTATCATTTTATTGATTACTGGTATAATAGATGCATTAGAGTATTGATCTGAGTTGTACCGTACCATGGGTTCCTAAGCCTGATGTCACTATCAGCGGGCAGGCAGTACTAATCTCCCGCTAAAAGGCTGTGTGCATCTGTAGATTGATCTGGTCTGACTGCACGGGTCAGGGGCCAATCAGGGGTAGTGACAGGGTCAACCTTATCGTCCAATAAAAACAGCATGACCCCCAGACCCGCCTGACCCATCTCCTGGCAACAAGCGCTGCCCCCCACAGCCTGAGGATTCCAATCTCTGCCACATTAGAACCCGCTGAGTTCCATTCTCTCTCCATCAGGTTCATTCACGTAATCCTCCCACTGTGTTGACAGGAGCTAAACACAACAATAGGAACAGGTTAATCATCCATTAACCATTGTTGACATGCAATACAATTAAAACATCTATTTCCAATTTAAATGGCCTTTAATGTCTGCTAGTCATTATACAAAATTCCATGAGGAAAAAGTAAAGAGATGTTTTCCCCCGCATCATTTGAAGCTATAAAATTGCATTAATTGCAGTTTGCATTGTTTACCGTCAAAGCCTTGGCCCAACATGTTCAGCGTATAAAAATAACCCCTTCCCGCTGATTCACGTATTGGAGTTAGTTCATGCCTTTAGTCTTTCCGTATTTGAATGTATCTACGTAGCAGAAAGCCTTATAATTTCCAGCTTTAAACCAACATGTAAAGACCAAGGATTTAAAAGAAAACTGAGATAATAGAAATTACATAAGGATCAATCATTAAACCACATTTCAAAGTCCAATACATAAAAGCAGCAATTAAATGAGTGTTCATTTAAAATATATATATATAAAGTGTTATCCCACTGAGTCATATCACAAATATTTACATACTAGTATTTACGTTTTTCTTTAAATAGACAAAACATTAAAGTGAACAACTCTAATCTAATTACATACAACAACAAAAAATATATACAAAGGAAGATGCAACTTCTATGATGAAAATTAAATGACCTATTATATCTGCATGTGTGTACATGCTATTGTGTGTACGTGTGTGTGTCCGTGTATATGTGTATTAAGACAATAGTTGATGACTCAATTGCCTGTGAACTTAACATGACCTAGATGAAGCCAAACCCAATAGCCTCAGTTACAGAAAAGAGAACATTAAATAAATTGTAATGTTATGAGAGTCTAGCTGATGTGTTTTCAAGCAATTCAAATATGTCATTATATTACATTAACATATGGGTCTATATCAAATAATGTCCAGTAAACTACAAAGGACTGGAAAATAATGAAGAATAACCCATTCATGGATTAGATGCTTAAATCAATTCAATCAGGGAAGTCGCAGAGTAAAAGGAACCCACAGAACAATCCATAGTTACGGCATCATCCAATAAAAATGTCTGCTCAGTCTTCCATGCTGCTCTGTTCAATCTATTAGAAGGGCCAGCTAGTTTGTTAATTCTACAGCAACACAGTTATTACAATGTGGGTTAAAGCATGGTACAGTTATTAAACAATACCATAAATCATCTAATTGCAGTTATTGTAAGGAAATATTGAACTAAGAAAACGATCTGAAACCAGATGTATTGTACTCTATTACAGAATGTAAATACAAGAGAATCTGCTTACAGGTTGGCCCACTACCTTTCTTTCAGTGGCCGTGGCCCAAATCTGGGCTTGCCTACTACTTACTTAAACTGCATACTGTGTACTAATCGTACTACATACTATTTAGCATGTACTAGTAAAAAGCATGCAGTATGCCATTGCCGAAACGTCTTACTTTTGGTGCGTTCAAGACAACTGGGAATTCGGAAACAAAACGAGCTCAAAAATCATGACGTTGGTGATCTTCAGGTCGGAGAAGTTGGAGCTCTAGGACAATGCCCGAGTTTGTGATTAAAAAAAAAATCCCGGTCGGAGCATGTTCTTTTCCGAGTTCCCTTTTGCCTTGAACACACCATCAGTGTCGGCTTCACATATGAACAAGAAATTATCGTCTGAAGCCACACCCAATGACCTTTCGTGTTGTTGTTTTGGACTAACGTTAGCTAAGTAGCTAGCATTTGGAACAACGTATTTGGAGTAAACTTGAGTGTACCGTAGGCCTACACATGTATCAATTGAAGAGTCACCTGAAGCTTGAGAGGAATGGGAGATGCAGTAGAGAAATGCAGTTCTGAGGCAAAGGACTCGTAATGAGGACAACTGGCTACTACTCTGAACTGTGTGTGGTGACTGGCGCCCAGAGCTGCTGAGGCATCATCCAAGTGGGTGCCATACATTGTGAAGGAGAAGTCCAGTGGCTACACGACTCACTCTGGTTTCCAGAGTAGCTAGCCCTCTACAAAATTGTCACTAGACACCATCGTCATCAATCATCTCCCTGACCACCTTCCTCCGATCAAGCCATCTTTAGAGGATGCATGCACTCAAAGACTTGGCCTATATTGGTTGACCTTGCCAACTATAGCTAGGCTACTAATGATATATTGCTTGATAGTTTTTTGCTTTTGATGCACTTTGAGATTGCAATGAAAACCGCTATAGAAATGTAATCAATAATTATTATACCAAAGATGGTTAACTTAGTCTAGTAGAGCAAAAAGCTCTGACGAAGGCCAAGAGGCTGACTCCTAAGCTTCAATAAAAAAGTGATACTAGCCAGAGCAGTGTGTGGGTTTCTTTTTTCTTTCAATTTATCTAATTGTTACCATGCACCTGCAACAAGACAGCTCAGATGTGCGAGTGCATTTTTGAATGTTGAAAGTAAAACACACCAACAGTAGATTATATTTACAAACAAGAAACACTTTTCAATAAGAATAATCCACTTTGAGTTAAAAAAATGGACACATTAATAGCTATGAATAAAATACATACAAAATACATAAAACTACTTCTTAATCATGTCCTTTAAAATGGCCATAAGGCGTGCCTCCCTGGCAGTCACCTCTTACTCCCACCTCCACATCTGGACCCTTCTGGGAGGGAGAGGAGCCCACAGCTGCAGTGTATTTTTGCTTAAACCTAAGGTTCTCCCACTTATTTTTTTCACCCATGCAGGTGACAGCTGCCCATCCAGCTCACACTCCTTCACGTAGATGGATAATAATGGTGGCGGAGGGGATGGCTGCCGTTTTACTAGCTCCTAACCAATTGTGTTATTGTGTGTGTTTCTTCACGTTATTTGTCACTTTTCTTTTCTTTGTTTTTTTAACTTTTTTGTAATGTTGATTCTAAAAATGTTTTATATATATATATATATATATATATATATATATATATATATATATATAATTATTATTTTTTATTTTTTGGGGGGGGGGGAATGGATCAGCTTAATATTGCAGATATATTGTATCTTCTATCAATGTAATTGTCTGCATCACTTCCAATCCCCCATGTTTTTTATATATATATTCCCCTTTATTACTTTTCAACCCCACCATCCTTTCCCTACTTGGAGTAAATTAGTGAACAACAATGCCCAGGCCTCTACTTCCGGTCTATACTTACTATCTACACCTTATGGACAGAGTTAATTTTACAACAATTCTATTATATATATATTATTTATTTTTTGCTCCTGAACTTCTTCTACTCTCAACCTCTCCGATCATTTTCATGATGTCCATCCGGTTTGCTTCTATATGCCATATCTTTCTAACTGTGCTCTTTCCCAAAAGCTCCCAACATACAACCTATATACTTATTATGGACACAGTATGCTTACATTATTAGCTATCTTTGTTATTATTTGTTGTTATTTGTTATTAGTCCCATCCTTCAACTCTATTCAATACCTCCCATCTATCTCTTAACACCATCCATATAGGATTTCTATTTGCCATATATATTTCAACCGTACTGTGATGTTTTACAAAAGTTCTGAACCTTTCTATTCTCATTGCTTCTACAGATTGTGAATTAAAAATAAACATTTTTGCTAAAAGTATTATTATATTATTGATTGATTGACTATGACTTTTCAGATAACCCAGTAATGCTATCTGCAAGGTTAGTTCCAGGTAAATATTGCAATCCTTTAGCCATTCCTGGACCTGTGTCCAAAAACAAGCTACAAATGGACAGAACCAAAACAAATGATCTAATGATTCTGTCTCTTCACAGCAAAATCTGCAGAGCTGGGAAGATTGTATCCCCCATATAAATAACATTCTATTGGTAGCAAGAATTTTATATAATAATTTAAATTGAAAGATTCTAAGTTTTGAATCCGGTGTCGTTTTGCGTGTCAGTTCATAAACACTATGCCATGGGATCGGTACGTCAAAGATCTCTTCCCAACTATTTTGCAATCTATATGGGACGGCTGTCAATCCTTTGGTCCTTAAGTGAAACTGATATACTTTTTTATTTATCACAGTTTTCCTTAACCAATTATGTTCTTTAATGCAAGGCCGACAGACAAGTTCCTTACTTTCTCCCCCTTCCACTTTCCTCTTCCACTTTTGCGGTAAGGCTGCAATTATTTGGTTGTAATTTTGGGTAGAGCAGACATTTCCATATGTTTTTGTTAGCTGCATGTGCGACATAACTCCACCAGTCCTACCGATGATATCATTTACGAAGATTATACCTTTTTTAAACATTCTGTCAAAAAATAAAGGTTTTTTGTCAATTAGTATATTTGAATTTAACCACAATATTTGTTGCATTATTTGTTCTGTCGTTTCTGGAGGATTCAATTGAAATTGCAACCAACTTTCTATGGCTTGTTTTAGAAATAGTGACATTTGGGAGATTATTTCCTTTTCAAATAACTGAAAGTGAGAGGTTGTAATCTGAATAAAGGGAAAAAGGCCAGTTCGGATTTAAGTATAACTTTTGGATGACTGAAGATTTTAGTGATAGGTCTAATGCTTTAATATTTAATAATTTCTGTCCTCCGAATTCATATTCATTATATAAATATGCTCTTTTAATTTTGTCTGGCTTGCCGTTCCAAATAAAATTGAATATTTTTTTCTCATATAATTTAAAAAACTGTTTGCTAGGCGTAGGCAAGACCATAAGCAAATAGGTAAACTGGGATAATACTAAAGAGTTAATCAGGGTGATTTTTCCACAAATTGACAGGTATTTTCCTTTCCATGGTAGTAAGATCTTATCTATTTTTGCTAACTTTCTATTAAAATGTATTGAAGTGAGATCATTTATTTCCTTTGGGATATGTATTCCGAGTATATCCACATCACCATCAGACCATTTTATTGGTAAACTACATGGTAATGTAAAAATTTTATTTTTTAGTGATCCAATACGTAATATAGTACATTTGTCATAATTTGGTTTTAATCCAGAGAGGTTAGAAAACGAATCTAGATCCTCTATGAGGCTGTGGAGGGATTCTAGTTGTGGATCTAAAAGAAAACATGAATCATCTGCGTACAATGACACCTTTGTTTTTAAGCCCTGTATTTCTAATCCTCTGATATTATTATTGGATCTGATTTTAATAGCTAACATCTCGATGGCCACAATAAATAGATATGCCGATAGTGGACAACCTTGTTTCACTCCTCTTGACAGTTTAAAACTTTCTGAGAAATAGCCATTATTTACTATTTTACACCTAGGGTTACTATACATGATTTTGACCCATTTTATAAGAGATTCTCCAAAATTGAAATGCTCCAGGCATTTATATATAAACCCCAGTCGAACTTTATCAAATGCCTTTTCGAAGTCTGCTATGAATAGCAGGCCTGGTTTCCCATATTTTCCATAGTGTTCTATTGTTTCCAATACTTGCCTTATATTATCTCCAATGTATCTTCCATGTAAAAAACCTGTCTGATTAGAATGAATAATATCCGACAATACCTTTTTAATTCTATGCGCTATACATTTTGCTAGGATTTTTGCATCACAACACTGAAGTGTAAGGGGCCTCCAATTTTGTAAATGGACTGGATCTTTATATTTTCCACTTGTATCCTGTTTCAGTAATAATGAGATCAGACCTTCTTCTTGAGTGTCAGATAATCTACCATTTACATAGGAGTGGTTAAAACATGCTAATAACGGTCCTCTTAGTATATCAAAAAAGGTTTGGTATACCTCGACTGGTATGCCATCCAACCCTGGAGTTTTCCCGGACTTAAAGTCTTTAATTGCATCCAGAAGTTCCTCCTCTGTAATTTCACCTTCACATGAGTCTTTCTGTGTGGCTGTTAATTTGACATTATCAATAGAAAAAAAATCGCTACAATTAGCTTCAGTTAGAGGAGATGGAGGCGACTGAAAAGAAAACATATGCTTAAAGTACTTTGTTTCTTCCTTCAAAATATCATTTGGTGAATTATGGGTGACTCCGTCAATTGTAACCAGTTTCATTAAGTTCTTTTTGGTAGCATTCCTATGTTGAAGATTAAAAAAGAATTTTGTGCATTTTTCCCCATATTCCATCCAGTTTGCTTAATTTTTATAATATATTACACTTGATCTTTCTTGAATAAGTTTCTCCATTTATTTTTGTTTTTCCTCTAATTTATTCTGAGCCTCTATGTTACAGTTTTTATTGCCATCTATCTGTTCTGTTAGACTTTCTATTTCCTTTCTTAGTATAAACTCTTTTGACCTAAATTGCTTTTGTTTTCGAGATGAGTACTGAATTGCATGGCCTCTAAAGGCACATTTAAAGGTGTCCCATACAATAAGGGGATTCGCTGTACCTGTGTTATGTTGGAAAAAGTCAGTTATAAATTCCTTTGTTCTACTTATAAATAAATTATCATCCAATAGGCTTTGATTAAATTTCCAATATCCTCGCCCACGTGGAAATTCAGTAAGAGTAATGTATATGCCTATTATATGATGGTCCGACCGCATTCTGTCCCCTATCAACACTTTTTTTAAACTTTTGGTGCCAACGAGAATGAGATAACAAAGAAGTCAAGACGACTAGCTTGATTCAGTCTCCGCCATGTATATCTCACTAGATCAGTATATTTAAGCCTCCATATATCTACTAGTTCTAATGTATCCATGACATTCACAATTTCCTTAAGAGCATGTGGGTGATTGTTTGTGGTGTGATTTCCTTTTCGGTCCATTGAGCTATTTAAAACAGTATTATAATTCCCCACCATAATAATATTGTCTTGAGTTGCTTGCAGGCTTGATAATTTATTATATATATTGTCAAAGAATTGTGGATCATCATTATTTGGTCCGTAAAGGTTAATGAGCCATATCTGTTTATGGTCCAATAACATATTTAAAATAATCCATCTACCTTGCGTATCTATTTGGACAATTTGCACATTCGGATCGAAATTACTATTAATTAATATCATCACCCCTTTTGAATTTCTTTGCCCATGGGAGAAGTATATTCCCCCCCCCCCCATTCTTTTTCCACGCTACTTCATCTCGAATTGTTGAATGAGTTTCCTGTATACAATAGATATTATATTCCTTCTCTTTGAGCCATGTAAATATTGTTCTTCTTTTGTTATTATCAGCTAAGCCATTACAATTATAACTGGCTATACTTATTTCACCATACACCATAATGAGATACAAGTTTCAAGTCTATTTATCATTATAAATGTTTGTAAATTTACCAATAAAAAATAGCGTAATGATTGAGTGTCCATTTGGCTGTACCGTGATATTTGCATTGCTATGGAGTAACCCTTCAATTGTTCTCCACTAAATCCCCCGCTAAAGCCCCTCCCCATCCCAAGTTGAGCCGTCATCCCAGTGATCAGCATCCCAACCATGTCCCTCCGTATCCCTAAGGCCCCGAGAGGCCAGGACCCATCCATCGAAAACAGCACACAGTGCCACCCACAAAACAGAAGCAGATTAACCGCCAAAAGAATTTCCAATGCTTTCACCTCTATATATATATATCTATATAACAATATATTTTTTTTATTATGCATATCCTATTTTCCATCATTATCAATTAATATGCGTAATAATGTCGGCAGTTCACGCATAGGATTCTAACATATAACCCGGATTGCCATTGTATTACATTTAATTAATTGACAAGCAATTATTATCCTAGCAAATAATTCCCGCGGTCCATCCCATACCCTCCCCCCCAACATCCCCACCCCCCCACAACAGATGCCAGACAAGCACACACGCACATACTCACATACTCCAACACACTCAACCCCCCTCCTCCACAATCCACCATAAAATCAGATACTCAACGGCTGTTGTATCCCAGAGCCCAACTCGAGAAATAATAACGTTATTTGTAACTTATTATGTACATCATTTTTCTGCCACCATCTCGTATGACCGAAAAGAGCATCTGGATATCACTACAGCGATTACTCACCTCATACTGGACGAAGATTTTTTCTTTAACGAGTCGGGCGCGAAGGATTTACTTCAGACACCCGACAAGGCCCAAATCCCCGTAATTCGCAAGAGAAAGAGATGGAGATATCGGGGATGTAGGTCGGTGTGCCTTGTAAGGATCCGGCGGCGAGTGAGTAATCTGCCTCTACCATCAGTCCGACAATGTACAATCATTGGATAACAAAATAGACGAGCTACGATCACGAATATCCTACCAACGGGACATTAAAAACCGTAATATCTTATGTTTCACCAAGTCGTAGCTGAACGACGAAATGGATAACATACAGATGGCGGGGTATACGCTGCATCGGCAAGATAGAACAGCTGCCTCCGGTAAGACAAGGGGTCTGTGTATATTTGTAAACAACAGCTGGTGCACGATATCTAATATTATGGAAGTCTCTAGGTTTTGCTCGCCTGAGGTTTAGAAATCTCATGATAAGCTGTAGACCACACTATTTACCAAGAGAGTTTTCATCTATATTTTTCATAGCTGTCTATTTACCACCACAAACCGATGGTGGCAGTAAGACCGCACTCAATGAGCTGCATAAGGACATAAGCCAACAGGAAAACGCTCATCCAGAGGCTGCGCTCCTAGTGGCTGGGGACTTTAATGCACGGAAAATTAAATCAGTTTTACCTCATTTCTACCAGCATGTTAAATGTGCGGGAAAAAAGACCACCTTTACTCCACATACAGAGATGCGTACAAAGCTCTCCCTCGCCCTCCATTTGGCAAATCTGACCATAATTCTATCCTCCTGATTCCTGCTTACCAGCAAAAACTAAAACAGGATGCACCAGTGACTCGGTCAATAAAGAAGTGGTCAGATGACGCAGATGCTAAGCTACAGGTCTGTTTTGCTAGCACAGACTGGAATATGTTCCGGGATTCCTCCGATGGCATTGAGGAGTACACCACATCAGTCACTGGCTTCATCAATAAGTGCATCGATGACGTCGTCCCCACAGTGAAAGTATGTACTGTACATACCCCAACCAGAAGTCTTGGATTACAGGCAACATCCGCACTGAGCTAAAGGGTAGAGCCGCCGCTTTCAAAGAGAGGGACTCTAACCCGGACGCTTATGAGAAATCCCGCCATGCCCTCCGACGAACCATCAAACAGGCAAAGTGTCAATACAGGACTAAGATTTAATCATACTACACTGGCTCTGACGCTCGTCAGATGTGGCAGGGCCTGCAAGATATTACAGACTACAAAAGGGAAGCACAGCCGCGAGCTGCCCAGTGACACAAGCCTACCAGACGAGCTAAATTACTTCTATGCTCGCTTCGAGGCAAGCAACACTGAAGCATGCATGAGAGCATAAGCTGTTCCGGACGACTGTGTGATCATGCTCTCCGTAGCCGATGTGAGTTAGACCTTTAAACAGGTCAACATTCACAAGGCCGCAGGGCCAGATGGATTACCAGGACGTGTACGCCGAGCATACGCTGACCAACTGACATTTTCAACCTGTCCCTGACTGAGTCTGTAATACCAACATGTTTCAAGCAGACCACCATAGTCCCTGTGCTCAAGAACACTAAGGTAACCTACCTAAATTACTACAGACCCGTAGCACTCACGTCTGTAGCCATGAAGTGCTTTGAAAGGCTGGTAATGGCTCACATCAACACCATTGTCCCAGAAACCCTAGACCCACTCCAATTTGCATACCGACCCAACAGATCCACAGATGATGCAATCTCTATTGCACTCCATGCTGCCCTTTCTCACCTGGACAAAAGGAACACCTACGTGAGAATGCTATTCATTGACTACAGCTCAGCGTTCAACACCATAGTGCCCTCAAAGCTCATCACTAAGCTAAGGACCCCGGGACTAAACACCTCCCTCTGCAACTGGATCCTGGACTTCCTGACGGGCCGCCCCCAGGTGGTAAGGGTAGGTAACAACACATCTGCCACGCTGATCCTCAACACGCGGGCCCCTCAGGGGTGCGTGCTCAGTCCCCTCCTGTACTCCCTGTTCACCCATGACTGCATGGCCAGGCACGACTCCAACACCAACATTAAGTTTGCTGACGACACAACAGTGGTAGGCCTGATCACCGATAATTATGAGACAGCTTATAGGGAGGAGGTCAGAGACCTGGCCGTGTGGTGCCAGGATAACATCCTCTCCCTCAACATGATCAAGACAAAGGACTACAGAAAAAGGAGGACCGAGCACACCCCCCTTCTCATCAGACAGGGCTGTAGTGGAGCAGGTTGAAAGCTTCAAGTTCCTAGGTGTCCACATCACCAACAAACTATCATGGTCCAAACACACCAAGACAGTCGTGAAGAGGGCACGACAAAGCCTATTCCCCCTCAGGAGACTGAAAAGACTTGGCATGGGTCCTCAGATCCTCAAAAAGTTCTACAGCTGCACCATCGCGAGCATCCTGACTGCTTGCATCACTGCCTGGTATGGCAACTGCTCGGCCTCCGACCGCAAGGCACTACAGAGGGTAGTGCTTACGGCCCAGTACATCCAGTGTCAGAGGAAGGACCTAAAAATTGTCAAAGACTCCAGCCACCCTAGTCATAGACTGTTCTCTCTGCTACCGCATGGCAAGCAGTACCGGAGCGCCAAGTGTTGGTCCAAAAGGCTTCTTAACAGCGTCTACCCCCAAGCCATAAGAACCCTGAACAGCTAATCAAATGGCTACCTAATTTGATTTGATTTCAGATCCTGAAAATACATAAAATGAAGTACAACAATGAAAACATGAGCAAAGTCGAGTTGTGTAAACTTTCTGTAGATAGCTAGACTGCCACACACTTTATCAAATTGGAGTGCCAAGGTGAAACAGTAACGAGTGCAGCGTACCATTGCTTTCACCATAACAGGGGTGTATACTCCAAACAGTTGCAACGAAAACAAGCGTTTCTATTGGACAGGTTCAGCAAACAGGGTGGGACCTACCTTAATCTGTCCAATAGAAACGCTCGTTTTCATGGCAAAACTGAACGTTTTGCAACTGTTTGGAGTAATGATTACACCCCTATGTGCAATGAAACTAGCTAGCTACACAACTAGGGTAAGTAACCATCAAGTAACCATGTAGCTAACGTTACTGTTCGAACAGTTATAACTTCTAGTCCAAGCTACTAAAGCACATAGCTAGTTAAAGGCACGGCAGGCAGCAGGCTGCAAATCTGTTTTCAAATATGTATGATTAAATAGTCGTGATCATTTTAAGTAGAACAAAATCTACTTACATTTGAACTCCACCGCAGAAGCTTCGCTATTCGCCATCTTCCAAGTTGTTTTCTTGTTTACTTGAAGAGATCTAGCTATGAACACTCACAGCCCCCCTCTTCCAATTAATTGTGGCTGTGAAATTTCAGAAAAGTGTGAAGTGAATTCTACTAAATGAAAAGCCGAAATAAGTATACCATCCTGGCATTTACAGCATACAACATATTCGAAAATTCACATACTATAAAACTTTCAATTTTCGCATACTCAAACAACCTACTATTTAGGATGCAAGTATTGGTATTCAGAAACAGCCAGTGTCTCTGTTTCTGGCCTCCACCTCCCCTCCGGTCACCAGGTCCTAACCCAGGCCCCTCACAGGCCTGGCTGGGTCCCTGGGGTGTCCTGTCTAAACACACACACACACATACACACACACATTAGTTAATTTGCTGTGATGATGTCCCTGAGCCAGCAGCACGTCTCCTGACGCAAATGTACATACAGAACAGACTAATCACCACCATCACCACTGGAGCTGAAAGGGAGAGTAGGCTGACTCTGTCTCTGTCTGGTTCAGGCTCCCAGCTGACATCCAGCTTGTTGTCCAGACTGAGGTGGGAGACAGTGCAGGTGTAGTTGTGTCTCTCTCTCAGTTCCTCTGTAATGACCTCCAGACTCTTCCTCACTTTACGCATCACAATTTTCTTCTCTTTCTGCAGGTTTGTCTTCAATGAGCATAAGCAAATGGGTATAAATTCCATCTGAATTACCTTTTTACAAATGCTATCTTAAATTCCATCCCATAGAATCCTTGGTTTTCCAGTGTAGTATGAAAAAGTAGTCATGTTGTCGTAGAATCCACCTGCATCAATCCCACTAAAAGTGTCTCTGACCTGCATAAGGGCCAGTTCACCATTGTCCAACATTTCACAGCCACCTGTTCTCTGCTGGACATGAATACCATCTGTAGAATGAATCGGTCCTTTAGGACAGATACTCTCTCTCCCATGCCGAGGTACCCTGAAGAGTGCTCATCTCAGTTTCCTTACGGGTATTATGTCCCCCATCAACGACATGTCCAATATTGGAGTCAAAGTAACTGACTTGAATATAGTCCGGCATCACCACAGCAGTAAATTTAGGGGAAAGGCATATCTCAGAGGATGTATGTTGCAAAAGCAGTTATATGTCTATACAGTATACTATTCAATGGTAATGTACATATAACATCATTATTTATCTACTATGAAATGAGAGAAAGTAAACAGTTCTGTGTGCTGTAAAATAAAAGGAAACACAAAAAGACAACTAGTGTGGTTTTTAGTGTG